GGAACCTTCTCACCTGGTGATTATGTATACGAAGAGGAACCTTCTCACCTGGTGATTATGTATACGAAGAGGAACCTTCTCAGCTGGTTATTATGTACACGAAGAGGAACCTTCTCACCTGGTGATTATGTATACAAAGAGGAACCTTCTCAGCTGGGGATTATGTATACCAGGAGGAACCTTCTCACCTGGTGATTATGTATACGAAGAGGAACCTTCTCAGCTGGTGATTATGTATACCAGGAGGAACCTTCTCACCTGGTGATTATGTATACGAGGAGGAACCTTCTCACCTGGTGATTATGTATACGAAGAGGAACCTTCTCAGCTGGGGATTATGTATACCAGGAGGAACCTTCTCACCTGGTGATTATGTATACCAGGAGGAACCTCACCTGGTGATTATGTATACCAGGAGGAACCTTCTCACCTGGTGATTATGTATACGAGGAGGAACCTTCTCACCTGGTGATTATGTATACCAGGAGGAACCTTCTCACCTGGTGATTATGTATACGAAGAGGAACCTTCTCAGCTGGTGATTATGTATACGAAGAGGAACCTTCTCAGATGGTGATTATGTATACGAAGAGGAACCTTCTCACATGGTGATTATGTATATGAAGAGGAACCTTTTCACCTGCCGATTATGTATACGAAGAGGAACCTTCTCACCTGGTGATTATGTATACGACGAGGAACCTTCTCACCTGATGATTATGTATACGAGGAGGAACCTTCTCAGCTGGTGATTATGTATACGAGGGGAGACCTTTCCATACCTGAAGACTATGTATGCGAGCACGAACCTTCTCAGCTGGTGATTATGTATACGAAGAGGAACCTTCTCACCTGGTGATTATGTATACGAAGAGGAACCTTCTCACCTGGTGATTATGTATACGAGGAGGAACCCTCTCACCTGATGATTATGTATACGAAGAGGAACCTTCTCACCTGGTGATTATGTATACGAAGAGGAACCTTCTCACCTGGTGATTATGTATACCAGGAGGAACCTTCTCACCTGGTCATTATGTATACGAAGAGGAACCTTCTAAGCTGGTGATTATGTATACGAAGAGGAACCTTCTCAGCTGGTGATTATGTACACGAAGAGGAACCTTCTCACCTGGTGATTATGTATACGAAGAGGAACCTTCTCAGCTGGTGATTATGTATACGAAGAGGAACCTTCTCAGCTGGTGATTATGTATACGAAGAGGAACCTTCTCAGCTGGTGATTATGTATACGAAGAGGAACCTTCTCACCTGGTGATTATGTATACGAGGAGGAACCTTCTCACCTGATGATTATGCATACGAGGAGGAACCTTCTCAGCTGGTGATTATGTATACGAGGGGAGACCTTCCCATAGCTGAAGACTATGTATGCGAGCACGAACCTTCTCACCTGGTGACTATGTATACGAAGAGGAACCTTCTCAGCTGGTGATTATGTATACCAGGAGGAACCTTCTCACCTGGTGATTATGTATACGAAGAGGAACCTTCTCAGCTGGGGATTATGTATACCAGGAGGAACCTTCTCACCTGGTGATTATGTATACGAAGAGGAACCTTCTCAGCTGGTGATTATGTATACCAGGAGGAACCTTCTCACCTGGTGATTATGTATACGAGGAGGAACCTTCTCACCTGGTGATTATGTGTACGAAGAGGAACCTTCTCAGCTGGGGATTATGTATACCAGGAGGAACCTTCTCACCTGGTGATTATGTATACCAGGAGGAACCTCACCTGGTGATTATGTATACCAGGAGGAACCTTCTCACCTGGTGATTATGTATACGAGGAGGAACCTTCACCTGGTGATTATGTATACCAGGAGGAACCTTCCTCACCTGGTGATTATGTATACGAAGAGGAACCTTCTCAGCTGGTGATTATGTATACGAAGAGGAACCTTCTCAGATGGTGATTATGTATACGAAGAGGAACCTTCTCACATGGTGTTTATGTATATGAAGAGGAACCTTTTCACCTGCCGATTATGTATACGAAGAGGAACCTTCTCACCTGGTGATTATGTATACGACGAGGAACCTTCTCACCTGATGATTATGTATACGAGGAGGAACCTTCTCAGCTGGTGATTATGTATACGAGGAGACCTTCCATACCTGAAGACTATGTATGCGAGCACGAACCTTCTCACCTGGTGATTATGTATACGAAGAGGAACCTTCTCACCTGGTGATTATGTATACAAAGAGGAACCTTCTCACCTGGTGATTATGTATACGAGGAGGAACCCTCACCTGATGATTATGTATACGAAGAGGAACCTTCTCACCTGGTGATTATGTATACGAAGAGGAACCTTCTCACCTGGGGATTATGTATACCAGGAGGAACCTTCTCACCTGGTCATTATGTATACGAAGAGGAACCTTCTAAGCTGGTGATTATGTATACGAAGAGGAACCTTCTCAGCTGGTGATTATGTACACGAAGAGGAACCTTCACCTGGTGATTATGTATACGAAGAGGAACCTTCTCACCTGGTGATTATGTATATGAAGAGGAACCTTCTCAGCTGGTGATTATGTATACGAAGAGGAACCTTCTCAGCTGGTGATTATGTATACGAAGAGGAACCTTCTCACCTGGTGATTATGTATACGAGGAGGAACCTTCTCACCTGATGATTATGCATACGAGGAGGAACCTTCTCAGCTGGTGATTATGTATACGAGGGGAGACCTTCCCATAGCTGAAGACTATGTATGCGAGCACGAACCTTCTCACCTGGGGATTATGTATACGAAGAGGAACCTTCTCAGCTGGTGATTATGTATACGAAGAGGAACCTTCTCACCTGGTGATTATGTATACCAGGAGGAACCTTCTCACCTGGTGATTATGTATACGAAGAGGAACCTTCTCACCTGGTGATTATGTATACGAAGAGGAACCTTCTCAGCTGGTTATTATGTACACGAAGAGGAACCTTCTCACCTGGTGATTATGTATACAAAGAGGAACCTTCTCAGCTGGGGATTATGTATACCAGGAGGAACCTTCTCACCTGGTGATTATGTATACGAAGAGGAACCTTCTCAGCTGGTGATTATGTATACCAGGAGGAACCTTCTCACCTGGTGATTATGTATACGAGGAGGAACCTTCTCACCTGGTGATTATGTATACGAAGAGGAACCTTCTCAGCTGGGGATTATGTACACCAGGAGGAACCTTCTCACCTGGTGATTATGTATACCAGGAGGAACCTCACCTGGTGATTATGTATACCAGGAGGAACCTTCTCACCTGGTGATTATGTATACGAGGAGGAACCTTCACCTGGTGATTATGTATACCAGGAGGAACCTTCACCTGGTGATTATGTATACGAAGAGGAACCTTCTCAGCTGGTGATTATGTATACGAAGAGGAACCTTCTCAGATGGTGATTATGTATACGAAGAGGAACCTTCACATGGTGATTATGTATATGAAGAGGAACCTTTTCACCTGCCGATTATGCATACGAAGAGGAACCTTCTCACCTGGTGATTATGTATACGACGAGGAACCTTCACCTGATGATTATGTATACGAGGAGGAACCTTCAGCTGGTGATTATGTATACGAGGGGAGACCTTTCCATACCTGAAGACTATGTATGCGAGCACGAACCTTCTCAGCTGGTGATTATGTATACGAAGAGGAACCTTCTCACCTGGTGATTATGTATACGAAGAGGAACCTTCACCTGGTGATTATGTATACGAGGAGGAACCTCTCACCTGATGATTATGTATACGAAGAGGAACCTTCTCACCTGGTGATTATGTATACGAAGAGGAACCTTCACCTGGTGATTATGTATACCAGGAGTGAACCTTCTTCACCTGGTCATTATGTATACGAAGAGGAACCTTCTAAGCTGGTGATTATGTATACGAAGAGGAACCTTCTCAGCTGGTGATTATGTACACGAAGAGGAACCTTCTCACCTGGTGATTATGTATACGAAGAGGAACCTTCTCAGCTGGTGATTATGTATACGAAGAGGAACCTTCTCAGCTGGTGATTATGTATACGAAGAGGAACCTTCTCAGCTGGTGATTATGTATACGAAGAGGAACCTTCTCACCTGGTGATTATGTATACGAGGAGGAACCTTCTCACCTGATGATTATGCATACGAGGAGGAACCTTCTCAGCTGGTGATTATGTATACGAGGGGAGACCTTCCCATAGCTGAAGACTATGTATGCGAGCACGAACCTTCTCACCTGGGGATTATGTATACGAAGAGGAACCTTCTCAGCTGGTGATTATGTATACGAAGAGGAACCTTCTCACCTGGTGATTATGTATACCAGGAGGAACCTTCTCACCTGGTGATTATGTATACGAAGAGGAACCTTCTCACCTGGTGATTATGTATACGAAGAGGAACCTTCTCAGCTGGTTATTATGTACACGAAGAGGAACCTTCTCACCTGGTGATTATGTATACGAGGAGGAACCTTCTCAGCTGATGATTATGCATACGAGGAGGAACCTTCTCAGCTGGTGATTATGTATACGAGGGGAGACCTTCCCATACCTGAAGACTATGTATGCGAGCACGAACCTTCTCACCTGGTGATTATGTATACAAAGAGGAACCTTCTCACCTGGTGATTATGTATACGAAGAGGAACCTTCTCAGCTGGTGATTATGTATACGAGAAGGATCCTTCTCACCTGATGATTATGTATACGAGGAGGAACCTTCTCACCTGGTGATTATGTATACGAGGGGAGACCTTCCCATACCTGAAGACTATGTATGCGAGCACGAACCTTCCCATACCTGAAGACTATGTATGCGAGCACGAACCTTCTCACCTGGTGATTATGTACACGAAGAGGAACCTTCTCACCTGGTGATTATGTATACGAGGAGGAACCTTCTCACCTGATGATTATGTATACGAGGAGGGACCTTCTCACCTGATGATTATGTATACGAGGAGGAACCTTCTCAGCTGGTGATTATGTATATGAGGGGAGACCTTCCCATACCTGAAGACTATGTATGCGAGCACGAACCTTCTCACCTGGTGAATATGTATACGAAGAGGAACCTTCTCACCTGGTGATTATGTATACGAGGAGGAACCTTCTCACCTGATGATTATGTATACGAGGAGGAACCTTCTCAGCTGGTGATTATGTATACGAGGACGGACCTTCTCTTACCTGAAGACTGTGTATACGAAGAGGAACCTTCTCACCTGTTGATTATGTATACGAGGAGGAACCTTCTCACCTGATGATTATGTATACGAGGAGGAACTTTCTGAGCTGGTAATTATGTATACGAGGACGGACCTTCTCTTACCTGAAGACTGTGTATACGAAGAGGAACCTTCTCACCTGGAGATTATTTATTATTGTGATTATGTGTAAGATTATGTACACAAGCAGGAACCTTGTGTCACCTGAATATTATGTATGCGAGGAGGCACCTTCTCTCACCGGAGATTTTATATACGAGGAGGCACCTTTTCTCACCTAAAGATTATGTATACGAGACGGCACCTTCTCTCACCGGAAGATTATGTATACGAGGAGGCACCTTATCTCACCTGAAGATTATGTATAGGAGGAGGCACCTTATCTCACCTGAAGATTATGTACACAAGCAGGAACCTTGTGATACCCGAAGCTTATGTATATGAGCCGAGAGTTCTTACCCAAAGATAATGTACATAAGCAGAAACCTTGTGTCACCCGAAGTATATGTATATGAGTCGAGAGTTCTTACCTGAAGATATTGTACACAAGCAGGAACCTCGTGATACCCGGAGCTTATGTATATGAGCCGAGAGTTCTTACCTGAAGATAATGTTAATGAGCAAGAACCTTGTGTCACCCGAAGCTTATGTATATGAGTTGAGAGTTCTTACCTGAAGATAATGTACATGAGCAGGAACCTGACACATTACTGAGCGAATGCAGTGAACCTGTGTGTATTCACGTGCACTATGAACTGAACCTATGTGGATACATCAGAAACAACGGCAACTGTCTGAACTCAGCTCAAGTGAGTTCATTAGAAACAACACTAGCTGTATGAACAGAACCCACGGGGATGCATTAGAAACTACGCTTACTGCCCGAACAGAACCCATGTGGATGTATAAGAAACAATGTTATATGTATGAACTTAACCCACATGGATGCATCAGAAACAACACCAACCGTGTGAACCTATCTTAAGTGGATACATCAAACAACAGAACCCGTGCGGGTACATTGGAAATAACGCTGACTGCATGAACTGAACCCAAGTGGGTGCATCACAAACACCGGCGACTGTATGAACTGAGCTCAACTGGATGCATCGGCACATAGAAAGACGAACAGTTCTTTGTAATTGCCCTGTATAGAAAGCAGTAACAGGCCGAAAAATACCCCTAATCATCGTAAAGCGTATCTGTCAATCTACTGTTGTCGTAAACTCCCCTTCCTCATTTGTGGATGAATACGGAAAATAAAGGTTAGACGTTAGAAAAGAAGTTTTGAAGAACATTTTTGCTATGTAAAAGAAACAATTCCAGATGATTAGGTCCTAAGAGAGTTAAGATTTCGATCTTCCCTCTCGTGATCAACAACATAACAAATGGTGTCATGAATGAATCTTGAAGGTGAAATCCAAAATAAATGTGTTCTATCTGTTATAAAATATAAATATCTTTTTTAAAATGTTGGTTAAGTATATTTTGTATCACATAAGAAAAAAAGTGAACTTACACAAAACAGGAGTTCCCATAACGTAGACAAGTCGATCACCTAAAATAACAATTCAGGTATAAAATGATTCGCTCAGAAGTCATATCAAAACCATGCAGACATTTTAATATTCTATAGATGTAGAATCTCTCTCATAAACAAAAGCTGTCACAAGATTTTATTCGCGAAAGCTGAACAAAACATTTTCCAGACGAACATTATTTTGTAATATTACGAAATAGTACATTTAGCAGAAATAAAGAGTGGTTTCAAAGCATGTGCGATTTAATAGTTCCATACACGTGGACACAACCTACGAAATGTAATCTTTTTTTTCAATTAAATTTTTTTACCCTGACTTTTAACATTTTTCAAAATGATCTGTGTTCAATATTATACCAACCTTGCTCCATAGACAGAATAATTCCTTCATGGGCTATGGCTGCCTTGTCTTCTGCAATTATCTGTATGGCAATGGAAGTTAGATGTTAACTACAGAGTGCATACACATGAAATTGAGATGGGAAGAAAAAATACGAACAGTATCTAAACGTTAAAAGGATGGTACAGTTTCTATTCTATAAAACTGTTGGATGCTACATGTAAGCGAATCAACAAATTCTTCTGAATAATAAAGGTAAACTTTACACTGGTGTGATCTACATGCATGTCAGAGATTTCCATTGTTAGTAGCATAGGATGATAACTAGTTTTTTTTGTAAAAACTAGTATTCAAAAGAAACGTAACTCCAGGACTACGTAAGAATATTTTATCTACAACTTTTAATATTATGGCATATCAAATATTCATTTTGAAATTGTAATCATTACTCCAAAGATTGTACGATGTTATTGCTAAATATGGACATAATAATTACTCTCCATGCAGAACAACAAATTCCACAATCAGTTGTTGAACAGTTACTTACTCTTTCAAGAATGGCGTACAAAGGCGTTCTGCCAAGTCTTCCCTCTTGAAACTGCCTTATTTGCAGAACATGACCTTTCTGTTTTTGTTTCCTTTGAATGTCAGTACCTAGGTACAATGTATGAAGCTGACTTTATGAGTAAAATACATCATGTGATCAGTGATGTAATCAAACCTACACCTGACAATCATCTGGTTAAGAAAAGCAATATTTATGGATGTCAACACTTCTTTATTGTGAATAACACGACGTTTCGGAGTGTATACTTGCTCCTTCATCAGGTGAATGGTAGGAAGTGTAACGGGGATATATACATACATGAGGCACTTACAAAGAAAACATGTATAAGAAGTTTAACAATGTTGAGGAAGGAATATGTAATAAAAACATGAAACATGAAAAAAGGGTTTTATAATAACAAGATTTTTGTATAAAATGATTTTATATATAGTAAATTCACACTAGATTAATATTAAAAATATATCAAAAATATGTTACCAGAGGGTATCAACATTATCTCCAATTAAAACAGCATATCCAAAATAAATTTGATAAGGGGAGACAACTCTTGCCCGGGTTTACCTCAGGATACATGCTTGCGCGGCGGAAGTATGATTAGAAGCAAGATGAAGGGAAATAACTGATACGCGCTCCTGCTGTCACATGCCGTCGCATACGGTATGCGCACAAACAGAGGTATCCACTCTCTTTAAATACAGTCATTACAATGGCCTATCTTTCACCAACATAACTTCCAATATTGTTATCGTGTGTACATATATTTATCTATGAACGAAAAGTTACCAGGTGCAACTATTGAAGGAGATTTTGCACAAAGCGCAGTTGTCAGTAGAATTCCTTCATAATTATGAAAATGTGATATATATATATATAACATTAAAAGACAACACACAATAACTCTTGTCACATTTACCTGGGAAGTCAGTTGGTATCTCAGAAGAATCCCCGAACATCGGATGGTCATGACATTCATAATCAGTCTGTAAAAGCAACACGTTTCTGTGAAACAAATCAACATCTTTACAGAGATATTATCATGAGGTAAGAGTTCATAACCGCCATTGTGATGATTAAGTTAATCTTCAGCAACCCAAAGACCTTTCTACTGACACATATTGTAAATCTGTCGTCCCTTTGTCTTGATACCAACGCAACACTTACCGTATCAAGTCTGGACTGTTGCTCTTGCAACCTTGAAAGGCTGCCTATGTTCCGGCTCAAGTAACGTAATGTGTTTTGCCACTCAGCTGAGGAATGAAAAGGAATATGGTACATCACCTTCGTAATTTCACATTACAACAGGTGCTAAATGATCAAAGATTGAAAGTATTCAAATTCCATACCTGTATATAGAGGACTAAGCTGCATAATTTTGTTGTCCTTCTCCTGAAACGATCAGAAAATATTAGCTGTCCTAAATCGCACACACAATTTTTGTATGAAAATCCGTACGTATGCATGTATTTATGTGCACGTTCTGCGTCTTTTGAAGGGCACAGGAAGCAAGGGAATGGGGCGATTAGTCAGCTTCCTTATTGGTAGTCTGTATTCTGGGTTATACATTCGAGTCCAGTAGGTATCTAGTAGTGATTGTTTACAAAAATGTTATTGTAATCCTGCAACTGCTGTTGATAAAATCATATATGTTTTCAATATCTACAGATCTATTCAATGGTTTCCAATAACAAAGACGAATGATCTTAAAAATCATAGAAACATTTATACAAAATAGTGTTTCATCTCCTAAAATGTCTCGAAACATGTTTTGCAGATTTTGTTTTTTAAACTGAATGTAATTTAACAACGTAAAATGTGTAACCTTATCAACGATATGCAGGTCTTCTGTAAGCTTCTCTACGTCCTCAAAACCTGCAGGAAAAATGATTGAACCACAAATAAACCCTATTGTTAGTTTTGGAAATTGTACAAATAAGTAGTGAATAAGAATAAGTCTTAACCATTTCAGTCAACATGATCTGCAAACACAACATCAGTATTACTGAGACATTCGAACGTGGCAATTTAGAATCAATCAATGGCATCAACCTTCTGCTGATGAATGCATGGCCCCTGAAAAAAGAACAAGGTTGATCTGTAATTTAAGATACTGGTTTTAAAATGTGTAACATTGATACTTGGTGTTGCTCACGTCAGGAATAATGAGTCGCAATAGTAAATCATATTAGCTTCTTAATTGTATTATATCATATTGTTATGATATAACGTCTGTGATGGTGACCATGGGATTTTCTCTTGGAACTCCTACTTACTTACTTGTATAGCCTACGTTGTAGATTCAACTTAGAAATACTTTTCTTCAACTATGACTGTAGTTATGAATGTGAAAAACACTCAGTTGTAGTCGCCCTGTGGACAATGTCTCAAAGCTTTCTGTCACTTACACTCATGAGTTTCCTCCAGTGTTGTTATCTGAGAGCCTGATCTATCTGAAGATAAATCCTCTGGTGAGTCCTGTGAACTAATAGAAGCAACATCCCCCATTGATGTATCAGAAACCAATTCCTTTAGTGCGACTATTGATGGTGTAACAGAAGGATAATCCACCAGAGAGGCATGAGGAAGACTGTCCACCAAAGGCTGAAAAACCACACAACAATTTACTAATTGAATACGAGTTGCGCAAGTACCTGTACTACAGTGACAATATAGCATCCAGCCTTCAAAACAAATACATGCAGCAGCTAGATCTATATCTTGTTTACGCATGAATGACATACCTCCCTTCATAACTGTAATTATTGTTTGGATATTTCACATTGTTGCCAAAACGTGTTATTCCAGAACTTTTGTGAAACAAACCCTAAGCATCTGCAAGCAGCTAGAATACTACCGGTAAAGTGTATCAGTTGAGTTGGGTAGAATAGGGCGATCCTCAACCACTAAATAAATACCCCTCCAGTGCCAACATAATCTGAACTTGTGACCCAATCTCACTTTCATCCATTTGCAGGACATGACATGCAGTACTTCATGATGATGGAATGTTGAGCGTTTGTATAACCATTGTTACATGTTGAACAATAAGTTAATCAGAAATCATTTCAGAGTGAAACAAACAACAAAGAAGAGTTTGCAGTTAACAATTGTATTCTGAAATTAACTAAGTTTACGAACTTAAACTGATTTCTTTAAGGGAATCTACAGTGGCAGTACAAAAACTGTTTTCACCTAAATTTCATCAATGTATATGACTCATTTATGAGTCTTGTTCCTGAAGCCAACTCTGAAAGGGTTTTCGGGAATGCAACCGATCCAACACCCAGGGCATGCTGTCTGTAATCTGTGAAACTTTGGCCAGTCAATCAATGAAATCAATCAATCAAATCAGACATTTGTATAGCGCTACATATCCAGAGTCCTGTTCGTGTGCGCTTAGTCGCGTGCTCGTTTGAAGAGGATGGTTTTGAGACAAGATCGAAAACTGTTGATATTTTCTGATTTTCTGATATTTTCAGGTAATCCATTCCAGAGTACAGCAACCGCTCTGCTAAATGTTCTGTCCCCGTATGATGTGGTTCGGACAGATGGAACATCTAAGCTTTGCTGACTAGCTGATCTGAGTGACCAGTGCCATAAGGAATGAGGTCTTCCAAGCAATATGAGTCATGTTGTGGTTCGGACAGATGGAACATCTAAGCTTTGCTGACTAACTGATCTGAGTAACCAGTGCCATAAGGAATGAGGTCTTCCAAGCAATATGAGGCTGAGGTTTTTTCCATGGGTTCCAACGGATGATGTAATAATAATTTCGTTAAACCACAAATAAAATTCCGCAGTTAGGCATTGTTTGGGGATATCCTCTAGATCAAATGCTCATAACATACTGTTAAGACATACTGTCTATAGTCATATAAACAGATTTGAAGCTCTGAGTGTATGCGTAACAGCAGAGTAAACTTCATTTAAAACTCCTGCTGACGTGAGGTGTTGCAGGATAGTTCCAATACGTGTAGGTTCAGCTGTTGTAGAATGCGATGGAACATGTTTTACTTTGGCTCTCCGAGAAGTGTAGGCCACTGAGGAAGACGCAGTGGTTGGTCTTCAAAGTAGAGACGGTAGGTCTGAGAACCATGATCGTGCCGGCCATGTTGGTGCGACCAGAAACATCATCATGTGATGGTTCCTGTTCTTGACAAGGCCAGTGAGTGAGTCATATCGGCAGTATTTCAGCCATATCGTGACTATATCAAGTTATATGTTTATAATAATTATAGGTTATTATGAGGTAAATTATAAAAACGTCTTAACGAAGGGCAATAACACAACTAGTTCATCACAGATGCATTTAAATAGCAATTAACTTATAAACATTTTAACTTAGCAAGATGATATAATATAAAAACAGGCTATAGATAGGCAACAACTGAAGGTAGATCACTACAGCTGATCTTGACAAGGACTTGTGGTATGAGTGCTGTTGGTGGAAAGGCATGATATCTACTGCATATGCTTGAAGATCTGGGACAAGACTGATGTAAGTCGGCAACTGATTGCTAGTGATGTCGCGAAAAGATCTATGCAATCTATGCTGTTCCTATTTGATCACTATCTGCCTGAAAGCATCCGAATTAAGTGTCCATTCTGTCGTTGTCCAGGTGTGATAACGCGCGTATGCAATGATGTTTATCTTTCCTGGGATGTGTCTGGCCACTGTGATGCAATCCTGACTGTCCACTAGATCGTAAAGTTCACTCATATGTTTCATAAGGTTTTGAGATCGGGTAAGTCTGTTAAAATAGACAACTATCATGCTGTTGTCTGTGACAACTAGAAGTTGGAAATTCCTGAGTATTAGTGCTCAGTGTTATATGGCTAATAAGACGTCTCTCATCTCTAAGATGCTGATATGGACTGGTGAATGTAACTCCCAAAAGACCTGGGCCCCATTTCACAAAGCTATCGTATCGCTACGACTGTCGTAAGTCTATGTTACAGTATAGGAGGTACGACAGTTGTTGCGATACGATAGCTTTGTGAAACGGGGCCCTGATGCTCTCTTGTCTTATAGATGATCTCCCCAACCTGTTATTGTAAGCATCTGTGAAGAAATGTCGATCCTGGTCACAACGTCCTGATTGGAGTCCTGTGTATGACATTATCAGAGTTCATCCACCATGCAAGGTCCTTGTGCACAAGATCCGTAGGTGTATGGAGTCTAGCTGTTTCCCTCCATGTTGATTGATCCAATTCTGAATGGATCTGAGATGCAGCCGGCCTCTAAATGTTAGATCCTGCATAGATGTCAGAGCTCCCAGTAGCAACATCTATTGCCATAGTGTGTGGAGATTTCTGGAACTTTGATAAACTGGTTGTATCATTCTGATGCGTGTTCCAACGGTGGATAAACAATATCCTGATGAGTGTTGAATATGGCCCTATATATTTCTGTTCGAATCTGGGCTAAAGTTCTACATTTTGCCTGGATGCACAAGGAACTAGGAAGAAATCTCTCAGATATTAGGAGTCGTCTGGAGATTCAACATCAACACTTGGAGATCAGGAAATCATCATATATCCATGAAACAATATCTGTGAGTGTGGAGATACACCAGTTCTAGGAATGTTATAATTGTAAATAGCCATGGAGCCATTGATATTCCCATCAGTACAACTCTGAACTGGAATAGTCTCCAAGGGACAGCAAATATATTTTTTGAGAGGCTGGATGGATAGGTACGTGTAGATATGTGTATTTCAAATATCTCGGGTGCTGTATGGAATCGTCTGTGTGTACTCCATCTGAAACTTGGTTGGTCATCTCAGTTATCCAGGTTCTGGATCTTCATATCGATGATCATTCTGAGTTGTGTTGAATCCTTCTTGGGAACCAGAAATAACGGAGAGAAAAATCCTTGCTTGATCCACATGTTTCAACTCATCCACCCACTGGGCTCTGGAATACATCCAGCATAGTCAGGCAACTGTTTCTGAACCAGGAAGGAACTATGTTTCACTGAGTCCTTGCTACTGCTGTCTGGGAAGTTCACTTGATTTAGGTCCAGGTTTGCCAAACGTCCTGGTCAAGGGTCTTGCTGTAACCTCTGAATAGGGTCAATTCCCAAAATTTCTTCTGTGAGCCCGCATGACCTGCTGCCTGTGGATCCTTGACAATAGGACTTGCCTGGCTGAAGCCTCAAGTGCCATGAGGAAACTGAAGTTGTGAAACTTACTATCCTCTTCCGAGCTGCAACTTCATCTGCGAAAGTGTATCTGGCTTAGGGTTTGACTTAAAGGCTATTGACACCAGCTCAGAACATGGCGTCTTCACATATTTGCCACATTCGCCATGAGGATCGTGAGGAGACATACGCTTACCACAAATTAAAAAAGAAATTAACCCAAAGGGGAAAGGTGAAATATATTTGCTGCCTTTAGATTTACCAATCTTAAAGAGAATCTAAAATCCTGGAAAATTTAGAACAATTTAACAAAGTCTCCCATATTGCCGCAGGCAAAATTATGAGCCCGTTGTGGGGAGAGAACTCCAGTGGATAGAGCGTGGGAAGACCACTATGAAGTAAGACAACACAACATGATGAGTGTTTATTCTTTTCAAGAAACATGTATCAGGAAATAAGGCAGTCAAGTGTGAGAGGGAACTATCCGTAAGAATTGTTTCTGTTCAATATGAGTTTGATAGTTAAATACTCATAAAATATCTGTAGGTTAACAGAGGCAGATTCAGTGGTTTCATCTATAGTTTAGGCAAACGTCATTGAACATAGATATTAACAATCTTCTACCTCTGAGTTACGATAACCCTGTGGGATAAAATGCTTGGTTGAATAACGAATATTTTTTTGACTTCATCGGAACATTTGACGATTGTTACGTTAGAATATTATGAGGCATTTAGTTACCTTGATTCATACTAATTAACCCACTTGTATTTATCTGAGATGACGTCCAAAATCAAACATACCTGTTTGGGCTTTTGTCCAGAATATTTCTTCCTCTTCTGGATTCCCGTCACTGCAAAACAGAAGATATGAACATATAGGAAAATATTTGGCTTTAAATAATGACAACAATGAATTTTCTCAAACATATTCAATTAAGAGTGTCAATTTGGAATACTTTGTTTTGAAATATGGGATTAGTTAATCACATTAATACACTGTAATTAGTCTTGCAACAATGAAAACATCCATATAGCCAAAGTATTCATTCACAGTGCATGATGTAGAATCATAGCTGTCCACCATGTAACGACTACTATAAGATACAACTGTCACAGAAGCATTTCCATTCTTTGGTCCGTTCCCAGGTCAGAGTTAGTTAGTGTCCAAACCACATACAAAGTAGAGCTGATCGTCATTCCTGTTTTTATGCAATGCGTTGTTTCTTTTTGTTTTCGGGCTAGTAATATGAACAATAATCTTGCCTGGAAACTTCTCGGCGTATTCTGGCATCATGACCTCAGATAATTGAAAGTGATGTTCAATGAAGCATACAAGTGCAGTGTGTGAACAAGATATTCCATTTTCAAAGGGAAAACTACTACGTGCACGAGCCGGGTATCAAACATACCAACAGGGGACATTACCCTATGAACATATGACATCAAGTCACACTGATATCTGAGGACATTCCAAATCCAAGCAAACACCCTTGAACATTGATTCAAAGTTGATTTAAAATCCATGTTCCCACATGTTCAACTGTTTGAGACCTTTCATACCTTTTTAGAAGAGATCCCAATGCCTTCCTGAAGAACCCCTTAGGCTTTTCTTCAATGAACTGTTCTGTAGGTTCAGATGCTGAAACATCGACGGCTGATGGTTCGTGACGATCTAAACATTAATGACGATAGAGTCAATGTATGCGTTACAAACTGTGGTCCGGATGATGTTATCTTGCTTGATGACACTGTTATTGGTTTATCTATTAGAAATATCTGTCACAAAGGACAGTAAAACATTAAGCAAGTTATCACAGTTTGAGTCTAAAAACTAACCATTTCAAATGATAAAAGATTTTATTCAACACAAAGATCAATATTACACGTAATGCCAGTAAAATATGAGCAATAGACCACCAGTCACCAAAGCTAGACCACCTTACTGGGGATCATGGGGACTTACAGCAGTACTTTAGCTTCCTGCATAAACCCCATCAGGACTAAAGCCATAACTTTGGTCACTGGCAGTTGTAGAAAAACTAGCCATTAATTCAAATATGTCAACATATGTAAATACATAATTCTGGTTGTCTGCAAAGAAATGCAATACCATTAAGCTGCTATCATCAGAGGACAATCTTTTTACAATACATCAACCCCATTAAATTGCACTGCTATACATAATATTATTATTCAACCATAGTTAAAATATATTTGACTCAAAGGCTGTGGAGCATCCTATCTCTTTTACAAAACCCAAATTTAAATGAAAATATATGTTGTTTAAAGATCCCATTAAATTTGAAATTTGGTTAAAAAGAATCCCTTGTGAGAGAAACTTAATCACATTAATACACTGTAATTAGTCTTGCAACAATGAAAACATCCATATAGCCAAAGTATTCATTCACGGCCGGTGCATGATGTAGAATCATAGCTGTCCACCATGTAACGACTACTATAAGATTACAACTGTCATAGAAGCATTTCCTTTCTTTGGTCCGTTCCCAGGTCAGAATTAGTTAGTGTCCAAACCACATACAAAGTAGAGCTGATCGTCATTCCCTGTTTTTATGCAATGCGTTGTTTCTTTTTGTTTTCCAGGCTAGTAATATGAATCATAATCTTGCCTGAAACTTCTCGGCGTGTATTCTGGCACCATGACCTCAGATAATTGAAAGTGATGTTCAATGAAGCATACAAGTGCAGTGTGTGAACAAGCTATTCCATTTTACAATGGAAAACTACTACGTGCACTAGCCGGGTATCAAACATACCAACAGGGACATTACCCAATGAATATATGACATCAAGTCACACTGATATCTGAGGACATTCCAAATCCAAGCAAACACCCTTGAACATTGATTCAAAGTTGATTTAAAAATCCATGTTCCCACATGTTCAACTGTTTGAGACCTTTCATACCTTTTTCTCGAAGAGATCCCAATGCCTTCCTCAAGAACACCTTAGGCTTTTCTTCAATGAACTCTTCTGTAGGTTCAGATGCTGAAACATCGATTGCTGATGGTTCGTGACGATCTAAACATTAATGACGATAGAGTCAATGTATGCGTTACAAACTGTGGTCCGATGATGTTATCTTGCTTGATGACACTGTTATTGGTTTATCTATTAGAAATAGCTGTCACAAAGGACAGTAAAACATTAGCAAGTTATCACAGTTTGAGTCTAAAACTAACCATTTCAAATGATAAAAGATTTTATTCAACACAAAGATCAAAATTACACGTAATGCCAGTAAAATACGAGCTATAGACCACCAGTCACCAAAGCTAGACCACCTTACTGGGGATCATGGGGACTTACAGTACTTTTAGCTTCCTGCATAAACCCCATCAGGACTAAAGCCATCACTTTGGTCACTGGCAGTTGTAGAAAAACTAGCCATTAATTAAAATATGTCAACATATTTCAATATATAATTCTGGTGGTCTGCAGAGTACTGCAATACCATTAAGCTGCTATCATCAGAGGACAATCTTTTACAATACATCAACCCCATTAAATTGCACTGCTATACATAATATTATTATTCAACCATAGTTAAAATACATTGATTCAAAGGCAGTGGAACATCCTATCTCTTTTACAAAATCCAAGATTTAAATGAAAATTTATGTTGTTCAAAAATCCTTTAAATTTGAAACTTGGTAAAAAGTATACCTTGTGAGAGAAAATTCTACTTTCTAAAGCAAAACTGTTATTCTCTCATCACATGGGATACAAAACAGAGGGATCCTCTCCTTTCAACAGATATCGCATTACGACTTCATCTTGTCCCGACGGACATCCCAAGTAGATATAACCTAAAGAGGTTTTGATTTCATGAAGCACTACTTGGGTGTTCCATTTTGTTTTGCATTAAGTGTCGGCTATATTCTCTGATATAAGGTTTAAAACCAGATAATGATATCAACATGGGGAAGACTGATTTGCCGACATGACTCGGTAACCAACCACAAGAAGATGTTGAATTGGCCAGTAGAAAGATCATTGTATAATTGTAAGATTTCAAGTACAAGTGGATGACTGTAGGATATATTTTGCAGTGCCCGAAGGCATGACAGGGAATCAGAAAAGATAATAAATTGTTTACTGTGGGATTGCTGCTGAATGTACTCCAAAATTGTCAGCATAGTGAGTTTAAAATTTAACATAGGAATATGACATTTTGCCAAAGATGTTTTATGAATATAAATGTGGTGGAAATACGTGGTCTCATGTACCCTCTGAGGAGGCCAATCATTCTACGTTACTTCAACCACCCTTGAGGATTGCGCCACTAAAATCCCAGTCATACATTTTATACTACCATTTATCAAACACAATATCTATCAATACATTTATCTATTTACAAAACATATAGTTCCAAATTTATCTAACTTACTGAACATGGTCAAAAAAAAAAAAGTCATTCATTGTTTTAAAACTGAATATTTATCCCTTGTGATGGACAAAATCAATACAGTCAAACAGTCATCATGCTTGCCCGTGATTCTTTCATCACAGGGGATACAAAACGGAGGATCCTATCCTTTTGATAAGTATTCGTGTAGTATGGCCCATGCGACTTGGTCACATAATGACGTCTTCAAATCTGTACTGACAACCAAAGTAGTAGCCAATTGTTGATTTTTATTAGTTATGATCACACAATGCCATTTTAGAAAGTGGTCAAATGTAACATGTGTTATATTTGGGATTACACTTTCTTAGTAAAGTACAAATTCTAGTACTTTTTTTTTAGTTGAGCCCCATCCGGATTCAGAACTCACACCCTCAGAGTCAGGCACCCAATCGCCAAGCACACAAAGTCAGCCGCCTAACTCACTCAGCTACTAAGATTTGTTGAGTGCTGCCTCAGCCACAGAATCCGCCAAAGCCTTACCTTCAGAACTTCCAACACGGCTGGGTAACCAACAGAGGGAAGATGTTGTATTGGCCAGTAGCAAGATTACTTTATAACTCGATTATTTCAATTAAAAGTAGATGTATATTTAACAGATTTTAAAGTTTTTAATAGCTTGAAGGCACGAAAGTCTTTAAAAGATTATATATTGTTTTGTATTTGGGGTGTTTATTAATATATTTTAAGGCTGTTAATGTGACGTTGAGCTGAAAATTGAGTTGTCATCTGATAATCTAGAAGTTATTGTTCTGGATCAATGACAGTGGCACTGTACATGTGCCACCATTTTTGATCCATCTGTAAACAGGGATTCGCATGTGTTATGCTTACTTATAAATTCCTAGTCGTAGTCGTAGTATTGTTTGGATTAATATGAGTGATTAATATATAAGTGTAGGAGGGTAGTTTTGTCCCATCCCCACTTAGAATTGGGAACGACTTTTAACAGATCATTTGAAGTACTGTCGGAAATGCTAGAAAAATGCTTTTTAGCCTTAATACTTTGATAAAGGTGATACATGTACTATGTTGTCAATATATCAATTCGCCTATAGTGTACCTAATTTTTTATTTCAATCTATTTAACATTCCCATGCATTTAAAGGGCAGTTTACAGGAGAGAATATCGTACTAAAACAACAACGTAAGATTTTTGTCAGAGTTCAACAACAGAAATCTGAAATAGTCTTTACATTTTATGCTTATGTCAGGGCAGAGATCATGGATCTGACTCCATATTGGGAACCCAGATTGGCGACATGGTCCCCATCGGTAAATAATCCGTGGGGAGATCTTCCCTGGCGAAAGACACAAACTGACCACAGGACTCGCAAACATGGATAGGAAGCCGGATGATCTTGGGCAGATGTCAGCTATGTCAATTAATGGATATAAATGATTGGCAGACCAGCGGTGCTGGGCAGTTTCGAATGAAAACTCAGGTTAGAGCCACCTTAGCAACTAGACCAGAATAAATCGTGTAGGACCCCAAGACGGACTTTGTGTTAACGTTAGAGTCATATCCCCAAATACTATGAGGCGGATGTGAATTCTGGAGAATCCGGGTCCTGTACTTACAATGCTACGTATTCGGTCGACGATAGTTCAGTCCATGGACAGGATCGCGGTAAATCCACTACGAGGTGCTATTAATCGAGAAACTCACAACGTGCGGTCTGGACACACACGATAAGCCTTACCACGAAGGCGTACTTGAAAGGCATCTTACAATATATGCCGCAGACCGCCTGCTTCACATGTAGAAACTTTTACTTTCACTTAAGCGCCATAACAGTCTGATTTGGAACGTTTCCCATCACAAACGCGCCCAATACCGACCTAGTAGAAGCACCGATGCGGCAGTCAAGGATTGTCCCGGTTTCGAGATCAAAATCCAGATCCATGCGATACGTGAAGATGTCTCTTACGGCGAAACAGGACGTTAGCCAAGGGGCTGACTTGCCACCAGAACGCGATCTTCCCAAAATAGTATTTAATACATCAAGGTATTGCCAAAACATGCGTGACATAGGGTTCAACACCAACTGCCGATGGCCTCATACGACACAAAACAAACGCCCGTTTTGGCCGGCATCAATGAAAACATTAAAAGTAGCGAAGAAATGAGTTCAAACAGGGTATAGTTATGCTGAGAGAGGTCAACAGAAGTCGTTGGCGAAGATTTTTCTCCACATTTTACTAATAGTGGGCCAGAAAACCAAACTGGCGCGTCAATAGTTGGTTACTCAGAGTCTCAGTCTCTGCTGGCAGGGTAAATTATATACTCAGCACTGTTAAAGTGCTTATCCCCTACGTCGTACCTTTTACACCTTATCCACTTTAACTATTTTACACCAAGGCTTCAAGAAAAATTATTTAAACTACCGCATTGAAGCTCCATTTTCAAACGCCACCATATATTACACTGAGCGATAAACGTCATATTACCGCCATAACGATATAATGTTGTGAGCTACTAGACCGCTGGTATCTGCAAACCCGGTATTGCTACATGTTGCGTTTACAGGACATCAACCGTTCTCACTTCGACTCACGTGGCATCCCTCACGCAGCTATAAGATACGTGATGTTGTTCCTCCCCAGCTACCATCTCAGGAAGTGAAGTGTGCGCCAGAACTTCGGTTTCCAACAATACGAAATGGCGAGTGGACGATCTCCGCTGGCGAAATGCCCTCGTTCCAACTGCCGGGGTTTATTACCTCGCCCCCTTTAACCAACGACATGGATTTGGTACATAGGATTTATGTGACTTTCATTTTTACCCAAATGGCTGACAGACATTTTTTCAGCAGACTTCGGTCGGGTAAGTCGTTTTAAAACGTGTACACGATTATCAGAGAATATAAATGTACGGTTTCACAGCCGGTCTTGGGCATGTCGCTTTATGCTTGTTCACATGCTCGCTACACGCAAGCAATACTTCTTCACCCCACACGTCTTGTAATGACTGCGTATCCATAACTATAATGTCTTTGAATTGGATATCCACATAACAAACGTGGGTTTTCTTTGCCATTTCTTTGACCATGGATCAAAATCGAAACTCATCCCCGACTGTTAGCTCGAGGAACCACGGTTTAATAAACGCGCCAGCTACGTTTGTGCCGTGGTACTTTCAATGAAACTTATCAAACTGATGAACGCTAATTGTCGGCATGTGGTGGCACAGAAGCAAGGCAGATAGGTATCTATAAGATCCTTCAGAGCCCACTATTTCTAAAGAGATTTCATTGAGTCGATACGAACGAAGTTGGACCAACCGCTCATATATCTCAATATGGCAATGTGGGAATATTGATTCTATTTGGATTCATACTGGCTACTATGGATCGAAGATTGGTCACCTGAGGGTTAACTACTTCAGTAGCCCCGGGTATCACTGCGGTCTGAGTATCAACCACGTCAGATATATCGTCTGGATATATCAGCCCACCCTCTACTTGACCCAAATATTCAAGCTTATCTCAAATTAGAAATTGTTCTCACATATTGATGTTCCTTATTGTCCTATCGCTGGGTTTGTATGTGGCGCTAAACAAAACAAAGGTTGCGTCCG